CACACACACACACTCACTCACATACACACTGACACACTCACAGTCTCACACACACACACACACTCACTCACATACACACTGACACACTCACAGTCTCACACACACACACACACTCACTCACATACACACTGACACACTCACAGTCACACACACACACTCACGCACACTCTCTCTCTCTGAGTTCAAGCATTAGTCAAAATCATCAAATCACGTGTAAATAAATACTGTGTGACTCTGGTACCTGTCTGTGATTCGGCCTGGACTTGCTCACAGGACTTTTCTTTCTGGATCAAAACACACAGATCAGTCATAAACATCATTACCGACACAAACACATCACAGTATCACTATCGGACGACTGAACGTCTGCTTACCTTGTTATGGTCATTTAAAGGCCTGTTAACAGACACACAGTGCCTGATTTTACTACAGGAGAGACGGAGACAGACATATTAACATGTGAACACGCGATCAAACTAGAGTCACCTGACCCTCGGCCAGCAGGAAGCTGAATTACATTTCTTCAGAAATAAAAATAAACACGTTTGTTTTTAAATGAAGCTGAAATCAGTCATTTGATTTTCTGAAGGAACTTTAAAACATTAAAGCAGAAAGACAGAAACGCTGCCTACCCTCCCTGTCCAATGACAGGCGTCATCTTCACATTCTGCTGCACACTGTCTCCGTTCTTCTTTTTGGCATAATAAACCCCCTGCCACTCCTGAAACACACACACACACACACACACACTTGTGACAGAGGATCTAAACAGCATACAGAAGCAGGTCTCAGGTCTGACGGAGAATCAAAGTTCGACCCCTGTGTGATGAAAGTCCAGCGTCTGCGGCTTCAAACGCTCCTCCAGCTGAGTGTGTGTGTGTTGTGAGAGAGAGAGATTTGGGCACAAACCTTTTCACTACAGCCACAATCACAGTGTTGTGAGAGCAGCTGATGGATCGAATTGAGCTGAGAAAAAAAATTTGAAATAAAATGAGGATTACAAACAACAACAGACATTTCAGCATTTCTTAGACACACAAACCTGCTACAGAGAGTGTGCAAAAACACATTTACATTTTCAAGCAGGCCATGTGAACACTGCATACAGTGGGATTCCAGTGGACGGTTTTGTGGATGTTGTGGATGTAATTTCTTGTGGTTAAATTGCATTTGAACTAATTATTGTTGAGAATGCAGTACATTTGACCAATCGTACTTTACGCTCTCAGGTATAAGAGTCAACTCTTCAACACTGAAGTGCTGTTCGGTTAAATCTGTATTCACACAGCCCCTGACGTTTCTCAATATTACAACTTATTTGACAGCTGAGAGTCACGTTTAAACTTTACACTTCAAATAAACCATGTATTTCACAGGAGCGCACTAGCATACGGATGAGCTTAAAGTTAACAGACAGATTTTGATTTCACAGCTCTGTAAGATGAAGGAGTTTATGACTGGACAGATGCACACATGACTGAAGTGATCTTACAAACATCAGGACGGTGCTGGACTAAAGAATGAGATCAGCTGAAATCTGCTCACTACACAAAAATCATCAGCAAACATCTGCAGACTTGAATCCCAACGATCTGTTAATGAAGATCTTCAGCAGCAGGTACTGAAGCAGCACAATGATGTCTGTAGATCAGAGAGACAGACAGATACGTACCGACAGAGCGCTTCAGCGTCAAAGTATCTGGAATGTCTGTGGTCGATGATGATCAGATCGTGGTTCTTCTCCTGGAAACTCTCCAGCGCCGCTTCTGGCGTTCGGGCCACATTACACCTGAAACCAGCGCGTTCACACGCCCAGCAGAAGCTGTGACTCTGAGCATCGTCTTTGGCAAACACTAACAGCACCTGCAACACACACACACACACACACAGAGACGTGCACACACACACACAGAGACGTGCGCGCACACACACACAGAGCCGTCATCAGTGTGCTCGACAGTGCTGGCCAACAGAGAAATTCAGCCACAATAATAACTTCCATCAATAACATGAACATAATATACTGCAGTTCATTTGAGCGGATTCACTGAAACAGTGCAGAAGAATCACTCGCTCACAGTGTGTTTGTGTAAAGCTAACACTGTAAAGCTGCTTTGACACAATCTGTGTTGCATAAAGCACTATATAAGTAAAGGTGACTTGACTTGTGTGAACAAACAGTTCAGATGCTCGGCGTGTGTTCTGTGTGTTCTGAGGGAATGTGGGATCAGCTGGGAGGACAAAAACAGGAAGAGGAAATCACTGTTTCAGTTACCAACAGTAATTAAAGCTCTGCAACACTGGCACAACACCTCAGCACTAACCTTAATACTGCCCTCAATGCTAATGCTATCCCAACGCTAATTATAACCCAATGCTAATACTAACTCAACGCTAATACTAACTCAATGCTAACGCTAACCCAACATTAACACCAACCTAATGTTAAACCAATGTTAATACTAACTCAACGCTAATACAAACCCAGTGCTAATATTCTACAACAAAAACAATCAGAGCGCCTTGTTATCACTAGTTTTATTTTGATTTCCCGAGTCCGCTATTAGCAAATAGCCCGCTAGCATCGCCAGCGTGGTTGCCGCTAACCTCGCTTACATTACAAATACTCTATTCACACACATTACCATTGTTTTACTCACTGTTACTTGCTTTAATGGCGGATGTGTGTCTACCTTTGAGTGCAGGTGAGGACACGTTCAAGCTGCATTCGGTGCAGCTCGAGCTGGAGGCCGTGGAGAAGCAGATCCGCGACCTGGTGGAGAGGCAGACCCAGCTGAGAGAGTGGAGAGCCGCGCTGGAATCATCCCAGGCTGATGCTCACAAGTCCGAGGTAAGTATACAGCGCGCTGCTAATTCTCCCACCACCTCTACTCCGTGTGTTTCTCTGCACAGGCCCGGTGCACCCAGGACGCGATCTTCCCAGATGTTCTTCACTCCGGCGCCGGGACACCACGGACCCTGGGTGCAGCCGCAGCGGAAGACGCGAGCCAGGCCCCGGGCGACGACCTCTCCCCCTCCGCCGCCTCCGGTCTTCGAGATCTCCACCCGGAACCGCTTCGCTCCCCTCCGCGAGACGGAACGCGACGCTGTGATCATCGGAGACTCCATCGTCCGGCACGTCCGGCACGTCCGAGCTGAAGGTAAAGTGCACACTCACTGTTTCCCTGGTGCTCGTGTTCTCGATGTTTCTGCTGTTTCTGCGGAGATCCTGAAGGGCGACAAGAGCAGCAGAGCAGTCGTGCTTCACGCGGGGGTTAACGACACCAAGCTGCGGCAGACGGAGACACTGAAGAGGGACTTCAGGAGCCTGATCGAGACGGTGCACCGCACATCGCCCGCGACGACGATCATCGTGTCAGGACCGCTTCCCACGTATCGACAAGGACACGAAAGGTTCAGTAGACTTTTTGCTTTAAATGAATGGTTATTGTCATGGTGTAAAGAACAGAAACTGCCCTTTGTTAATAATTGGAATCTTTTCTGCGAGCGTCCTAGGCTTTTTCGCGCTGATGGCCTGCACCCCAGCAGAGTCGGAGCGGAACTCATGTCGGACAACATCTCCAGGACGCTACGCACCATATGACTAGTAAGTCAAATCTCAAATAACTGCCCTGATGACTTGTGTTCTACCCGCTTAAATGATAGAAGTACTTGTGCTGTCCAATCTATAAAGACTGTGTCTGTTCCCCGAATAGTGAGGTCAAAATATAAATTTAATGCAGGATCTAGAAAAAATCTGATAGTGATTAAACCAGAAAAATGTAAAATAAATGAACAAAAACAATTTTTAAAGTTTGGGCTCCTAAACATTAGATCACTCTCACCCAAAGCAGTTATTGTAAATGAAATAATCACAGATAATCGTTTTGATGTACTCTGCTTGACTGAAACCTGGCTAAAACCTAATGATTATATTGGTCTAAATGAGTCTACTCCACCAAGCTACTGTTATAAGCATGAGCCCCGTCAGACTGGTCGTGGCGGCGGTGTTGCAACAATATATAGTGATATTCTCAATGTTACTCAGAAGACAGGATACAGGTTTAACTCATTCGAAATACTAATGCTTAATGTTACACTGTCAGATATGCAAAAGAAATCTATCGTATCTCTTGCTCTGGCTACTGTGTATAGACCACCAGGGCCATATACAGATTTCCTAAAAGAATTTGCAGATTTCCTCTCAGACCTATTGGTTACTGTTGATAAAGCGCTAATTGTCGGAGATTTTAACATTCACGTTGATAATACAAATGATGCATTAGGACTTGCGTTTACTGACCTAATAAACTCTTTTGGAGTCAAGCAAAACGTCACCGGGCCCACTCATCGTTTTAATCATACGCTAGATTTAATTATATCGCATGGAATTGATCTTACTGATATAGATATCGTACCTCAAAGTGATGATGTTACTGACCATTTCCTTGTATCGTGCATACTGCGTATTACTGATAATAACTATATCGCTCCGCGTTATCGTCTGGGCAGAACTATTGTTCCAGCCACCAAAGACAGATTCACAAATAACCTGCCTGATTTATCTCAACTGCTCTGTGTACCAATAAGTACACATGAACTAGACGAAATGACTAGCAACATGGGCACTATCTTCTCTAATACATTAGAAGCTGTTGCCCCCATCAAATTGAAAAAGGTTAGAGAAAAACGTACTGCGCCATGGTACAACAGTAATACCCATTCTCTCAAGAAAAAAACTCGTAGTCTTGAGCGCAAATGGAGAAAAACGAACTTGGAAGTTTTTAGAATTGCGTGGAAAAACAGTATGTCCAGCTATAGACAGGCTCTAAAAGCTGCCAGGGCCGAGCATATCCACAAACTCATAGAAAATAACCAAAACAATCCAAGGTTTTTATTTAGCACAGTGGCTAGATTAACAAATAACCAGACACCACCCGATCTAAATATTCCCTCACAGTTTAATAGTAATGACTTTATGAATTTCTTCACTGATAAAATAGATAACATCAGAAATACAATAACAAATGTAGATTCTACAGCGTATAATACTTCAGCTTCATTCATCGCACCAAAAGATAAACTGCAGTGCTTTACAACTATAGGACAGGAAGAGCTAAATAAACTTATCACTGCATCTAAACCAACAACATGCCTGTTAGATCCTGTACCCACTAAATTACTGAAAGAGTTGTTACCTGTAGCAGAAGAACCGCTTCTCAATATTATTAACTCGTCGTTGTCTTTAGGTCACGTCCCAAAACCATTCAAGCTGGCGGTTATTAAGCCTCTTATTAAGAAACCACAACTAGATCCTAGTGAACTGGCAAATTACAGACCCATCTCAAATCTTCCTTTTATGTCTAAAATTTTAGAAAAAGTTGTGTCCGCTCAATTGCGCTCCTTCCTGCAAAAAAATGATCTCTATGAAGAATTTCAGTCAGGTTTCAGGCCCCACCATAGCACAGAAACTGCACTTGTTAAAATTACAAATGACTTGCTTCTTGCGTCAGACCAAGGCTGTATCTCATTGCTAGTTTTACTTGATCTTAGTGCTGCGTTCGACACTATAGATCATGACATACTCATAGATCGATTACAAAACTATACAGGTATTCAAGGGCAGGCTTTAAGATGGTTTAGATCCTACCTGTCCGATCGCTACCACCTTGTTCATTTAAATGGGGAGTCATCTCAATTATCACCAGTAAAATATGGAGTGCCACAAGGATCTGTCCTAGGTCCTCTGCTATTTTCGATATACATGTTGCCCCTTGGTAATATTATTAGAAAATACGGGATTAGCTTCCACTGTTATGCAGATGATACTCAACTATATATCTCAACAAGACCAGATGAAACTTCTAAATTATCTAAGCTAACAGAATGTGTTAAAAATGTAAAAGATTGGATGACCAATAATTTTCTCCTATTAAACTCGGATAAGACAGAGATATTACTTATTGGACCAAAAGACAGTACACAGAATCTCGTGGATTACAATTTGCAACTAGACGGATGTACAGTTACTTCCTCTACAGTCAAAAATCTGGGTGTTATATTAGATAGCAACTTGTCTTTTGAAAATCATATTTCCCATGTTACAAAAACAGCATTCTTCCATCTTAGAAACATTGCCAAACTACGAAATATGTTACCTGTTTCTGATGCAGAAAAGCTAGTTCATGCATTCATGACCTCTAGACTGGACTATTGTAATGCACTGCTAGGTGGTTGTCCTGCATCCTCAATAAACAAGCTACAGGTAGTCCAAAATGCAGCGGCTAGAGTCCTTACCAGGTCAAGAAAATATGATCATATTACCCCAATTTTACAGTCTCTGCACTGGCTACCTATTAAGTTCCGTATCAGTTACAAAATATTATTACTTGCCTATAAGGCCCTTAATGGGCTAGCTCCTGCGTACCTAACTAGTCTTCTACCACGCTACAATCCATCACGCTCCCTAAGGTCGCAAAACTCTGGACTTTTGGTAGTACCTAGGATAGCAAAGTCCACTAAAGGAGGTAGAGCTTTTTCGCATTTGGCTCCCAAACTCTGGAATAGCCTTCCTGATAACGTTCGGGGTTCAGACACACTCTCTCTGTTTAAATCTAGATTAAAGACACATCTCTTTGGCCAAGCATTCAAATAATGCATATCATAATCTTGTACTGCAGTTATATCTGATCAAATGCACATTATTATTCTTTAGTTTGGGTTAAACAAATAAATTTTGCTTGGTTGGAACAGCAGCTACGCTAATTATGTCCCTATTTGTTTCTCTGTTTTTGCCACAGGATTGACATCCCGTGGTACTAACTCAACGCTAATACAAACCCAGTGCTAATATTAACTCAATGCTAACTCAATGCTAATACTAACTCAACGGTAATGCTAAGCCAACGCTAATACTAACTCAATGCTAACCCGATGCTAATGCTAACCCAACATTAACACCAACCTAATGCTAACCCAACGCTAATATTAACTCAATGCTAATGCTACCCCAACGTTAATACTGACTCAATGCTAACCCAACGCTAATGATAACCTAACGTTAATGTCAAACCAACGCTAATACTAACTCAATGCTAATGCTAACCCAACATTAATGTTAACTCAACGCTAATACTACCCCAACGTTAATGCTAATCCAATGCTAATATTAACTCAATGCTAATGCTAACCCAATGCTAATGCTACCCCAACGTTAATACTAATCCAATGCTAATATTAACTCAATGCTAATGCTTACCCAATGCTAATGCTAACCCAATGCTAATATTAACTCAATGGTAATGCTAACCCAACGCTAATGCTTACCTAACGCTAATACTAACTCAACGTTAATGCCAAACCAACGTTAACACTAACTCAATGCTAACCCAATGCTAATGTTAACCCAACATTAATGTTAACTCAACGCTAATGCTAACCCAATGCTAATATTAACTCAATGCTAATGATAACCCAACACTAATGCTAACTCAGTGTTAATGCTAACACAATACTAATGCTAACCCAACGTTAACGCCAACCTAATGCTAACCCAGCGCTAATACTAACGCAACGCTAATGCTAGTCTCAGCCTCAGACATCACGCCCACGGACCATTGGCTAAATGTCTGATGCATATGGCACACAAAAGCACACTTCAGGAGTTTCGAAGTCGTCATCGGATTTGTTGAATTATACAGGATTTCCGGGAGATGTGTGTGTCGCGTTCTTTAACGTTCCACCTGGAAACAAAGATGGCGTGCCGCCAAACCCCCTCACGAAAGAAGAAAGCCGTCATGTTTACATCTGTGACGACGAGCGCTTATCAGGATCAACTAAACGATTTTCAAAAGTATGTGAAAAAAGTTCGCGGCACAGAATCTTTAAAATACGTCCGAAAGTTTTACACACCAGTCTGTTATTGTGGCGACATTTCCACGCCCCGAAACGTGACGATGAACGAAACGAACTGTGATTGGTTGTTTAACATGTCGGTCAAACGGCCTCATGGGCGGGCCTTGGCCAATGAAAGCTGCCATGAATTAAAAAATTCCAATGCTAATGCTAACCCAACATTAATGTTAACTCAACACTAAAGCTAACCCAATGTTAATGCTAACCCAATGCTAATATTAACTCAATGCTGATGCTAACCCAATGCTAATAGTAACCTTATGCTAACCCAGCACTAATACTAACTCAACGCTAATGCTAACCCAAAGCTAATAGTAACCTTATGCTAACCCAGCACTAATACTAACTCAATGCTAATGCTAACCCAACGCTAATGCTAACCCAACGCTAATAGTAACCTTATGCTAACCCAGCACTAATACTAACTCAATGCTAATGCTAACCCAACGCTAATGCTAACCCAACGCTAATAGTAACCTTATGCTAACCCAGCACTAATACTAACTCAACGCTAATGGTGCACAATTCTTCAGACAAATCATTTCACAGCTTTCTATGTAGATCTGCTGCACCAGACGTTTCTATTGATGTGTTTCGTGCAGCATTGATGTTGTTGTTTTTTGCCTTTTTTATTGTTGATAGTAGTTCAAAAGAGACACAGGGAACTATGGGAGAGAAGAGAGGGCAACAGGATCGAGTTTGGGATTTTAGGGCACTTTGTGACGCCCGCCTGACAAACCCCAGACTCCATGTGTTCCTGAGATTCTACACATTACAGGCCCTTCAAATCATTCTGACGCGTCTGTGAAAATACAGCGGATTCACAGAGCGATTATTCATATCTTCTCACGGGAGCTCCAGAAATCTCAGGATACGGGAGTCGGGTTGGATTCACTCAACCTTCCTAAAATTAGCTTGAAGAATTAATGAGCAATAATGAAACTCCCAATATAGAACACACACTCTCACACACACACACACCATAATGAGCAGGAAGCCTGATAATCTGCATGTTCACACTCACTGTTTGGTGTACTTACTACAGAAACCCTTCTAAACCAGCATAATGTATGAACACAGAGTATGAGTGATGAAGAGCCGGTACCTGCAGCTGATCTTCATAGAGCTTCATTGGTCCAAACTGCACCTCTGTTAATGTGCTCTGAAACGACAGTCAAGAACAAACACACTCAGCATGATCTGTGGAAGTACATTCAGACATGATTCCAGCATCCTCCCTGATGATGCTCAGTTACCATGGAGACCATCCCTCCACGGGACAGCATCCCAAAAGATCATCACCATCCGGACAACATGAGGAAGGGAACGGAAACACACACACACTGCAGACACACACACACACACTGCAGACACACACACACACACACACACACA